GCATATGAAGAAATATGATCAAATAAATCAGTTGAATTATGAAGGATCTTTGTATGAAGACCACAAGCAACCAAAATATGGGCAAGACGATCATTGTTCGATATATCTTGACGAATATCAGTAACTCGACCTCAACAAAAAAAACGAAATATTGTTATGTATCATTAGTAGAAAAGCAAGTACTTACTAGGTGTCAATATTTCATTGTAATTTATGAATGCATAGCGTGTAACTAAAAAGTCAAGTATGGCATCACCAAGAAATTCTAATCTGTAAAAGAAAATGATAAATGACTATAGGTTCAATTCATAATTGATTCTCTACCGTTCATAACTATCTGTTACAAGATCAGCAAAACTTGATGAATGAGTAAATGCTGCAATAAGATATGCCTTAGTTTGAAAGACGTATTGTATTTTAGTTTCAATTTCATTAAATGCTCGATCAAGAAAAAATTTATTGATTATCTCATTGTTCTGAATTTCATTATTCGCAGCCATATTTGAACGGAGAACTGATGGAAGTTCCATTAAGTTGCCTGCGAATTAAAGAAAAACTATAATCTTTGCATATGAGAAGACTCATATACCTTGTTTACTGACTGGAATAACATCAAGACCAAGCCAATACATAAATTTGATCGTCGTTGTATAATTACTTGAAATGAGAAAAGCACCAATAAATGCTTCTATCATATCGCTAAAAGCTTTTCGTTTCGCATTTTGATGAGAGTGTCGTTTACCCAACGTCGAATTAGCCTCATCAATTACATATCCAGGTGGTAACCAATTGGCATCTTTACCTCGAAAAACAATTTTATTAACATATAAAAAATGTTTTAGTTGTCTTTGTACAGCTAATCGATAAAGATTTTCATTTGAAATTTGTTTAATTCTTTTTTCTGTCAATGAACCAGCACTAGCCAAAGGATGACGATAATATAATGACATTGAAACAGTCAATTTAAGAAAAGAATCACCAAGTATTTCGAAATTTTCATTATCCATTTGTTCACCAGTAGAACGTCGTGTTATTGCTTGAAAAAGTATATCAGGAGAAGGTTGTTCATTTGTTAACGTATTTTGTATGTTCGATGGATCATATGTGAGTGATGTCAATGGAAGTAAAGCTTGTCGAGTCTAAAAATGTGCCATTCTTGTTTGATTATTTACAGGTACTACTGTATATTCTCAAATATCTATTTTTCAATTCAAAATTACGTATGATCAAAACTCGTCTCCGCAGTAAAGTACTATGGTTTTCTTTAATATGCTTCATTATTGTGGTCATACAACTCGTCTCATATTTGAACAGAAGATGCGAGCAGATTGAACTGTAGTTCTCCTATATTTCATTGTTTGGATTCGAACTGAATAGTATTAATTTAGTATTGTCCTTTCCAAAATAAAAAGGTAGGCTGCCATTTTCTCAATAATTCTCGCTGAGTTCAAAATATGGACCTACAGTTTTTACCATTCAAAAGAGCGATGTTGAGTATTTTCATCAATTTTCACAATAATTTCAACTCAAACTATGTTGAAATACAGCACACGTTACCCTTTTTTCGCTGTAAAATTATCATGTATAAAAGTATCTCTCAATCTCTTATTCTCAGTGAATTTTATAAAATACATGTTGATTTTCTAGTGAAAAAAGGCTGACCTGAGCTATATTTTAACACAATTTTAGTTGAGATTATTGTCAAAATTGATTAAAATACTTAACAGAAAAATTATTGATCTAAAATCGCCTGCAAATGCCCTATTGAGATCTATATCACTCTACGAAGCGGCCATCACTTTGTTAAACGGTGAAAACTACAGGCCTATATCGTATATATAGCTAAGATTATTCAGAACATGACAGCTTGGTTTTTATTTTCAAAAGGAGAATAGTATAGTGCTACAATCTGCAAGAGTCGAAAACAGTCTATTTCAAAAATGATCAAAATGCCAATTGTATGAACTGAAGCAGGATGTGACAAGAATGTTGAGATATATAGCATAGAAATCCTAGATTCTTTCCTTCATTCAGATCGCGATGAACAACTTAATGATATCCTCCTCACAAATAAAGAGTAATAAAATGTATGTTAAAACATGTGGAATAATAAGAATATCTCTGTGATTAGCAGCAGTATGTATTCAACTAATCATGAAGGAAAATTAATCTTTCCTCTGGCTTACAGACTTCAATTGACATGTTAATCTGTCAAGAAAAAATAAGCGCTTTCTTATTGCGAAAATTTCATGTTTTTAGTACATGAGTTCTTTTCAAATTGAAAATCTTTATGATTGTTTGAATTTCTAGATTTTGACTTCGTGAATAATAAGTGAATCTTTTGATTTGGAATCGGTTTGCAAACTGAAATTACGAACAAGTCGAATTTTTCTCAATTTCACGTTTCAAAAGATTATGAATTGTGAAAATTTGTAAGGAAATAATCAGTAAAAGGCACTTAACACTTACCACGAAGGGAGCCGTGGCTCGGGACGACTCTATTGTCTCAAGACAATTGTTGAAATCAACAGCCTTTCGCATCTGTTTTACATCCATCAACTATACAGAAATAAGAATCATCTGAAGAAAAATGATTCGATCAATATTCTCATACTAAATAACTTTTAAGTTTAGAAGCAAATACCATTCGCAATTGTTCAATCCAATATAGTTGAGTAAGACGTACAAGAATACTTGGTAACTTATAGAGGAGTTTCAAATCTGCTTGATTTACTGGAGCATAATGAAGAAGTTCTATGGGATAGTGCACAGATTGATCGATTAAATCAGTTGTAGAATTTTTATTTGCTTTATTTTCTGTTGGTATTTGATGAAGATAGTTTATTCGAGGATTGCTTATAGCTCTCATTGTTGCCATTAAAGAATCTCGGTGAATAGAAACATTTGGTAATTTATGTTCGAAATAATCGGCATAGGTTTTGATTGTTTCCGATTTCGTTTTGTGCATCCACAAATCGGAAGTTCGTTTTAATAGAGCGATATCTGGTACAGTAATATACAATTGTTTATTCTGTAGATGCCAAGCAACATAAAGTTCACTAACGGATAGTTGGGAGTGATGTTCAACAGATTTATTTAGTCTATTACGTATCGATAGCATTCTTTCACAATCGATCTCATAATAATCTATCAAATAACAACCAATCGATAAATACATGACAAAGTTTTTTTTTTGACTTACTTTTCAATAAACATGGAAGTAGTTTAAATGATGAATGTTCAATATTAAACTTGAGAATTGTTTGTGAACTATACACAATTCTATCAAAGACATTCTCAAATAAATATTTACTAAAGCATTCAATTTCGTTTTGATATTTTGTATAATCGATTGTTTCCACATAAGTTATATCTACTGTTAGTATTTCATTGTTATCACCATAGAGATTGAAATTCGGTAACTAAAAAAGGTATATGATTTAATCAACATAATTGAAATATATTAATATATTACTTCAATTAATTTCGATGGAACAACAAAACCGAGTTTATCTTTTTCTGTTCGAATGTTAATTCGATAGAGATACCAAATGTTCGATAAATCAATTGGTTGTTGTGGAAATAAAGTAATCTACATATGTGAAAAATTTATTTCAATCAATCTAGCTGATTTTCTTGTCTGTAATTGACCTGCTTTTCAAATATTTCCATCTTATTATCATTTTTCTTGTCGAATAATTCATCGCATAATTTGAATAGTTGACATTCGATTGAAGTATCGTTTGTTATCGGTGATCGAGCTTGATACTGGAGACAATCATCATTTAATTCTTCTAAAAGACTCAAAATCACATAGCTCGTGCATTGCACACTTAAAAATCTTTTCTAACTTTGTTGATGAAACAATTCGACCATTTTTAAACAACACTCAAATTTAGCGAATATTTTGTTCCTGTTTTCACACTAAATGAAAAAATATTTATCGCTGAGACTGAATAGCAATATATTGTTAGTTAGCAGATGAACATGACAAATAAAGAAGAACAGAACGCTACATAGTATATATAATATATATGAAAAGAAGTCATCATTGTGCTTGTACTTGTTAGTGTAGATCGTAGAATGTTGCTGGCCGTTTACTCGATGTTTTATCGAATATGCGAAATAATGAAAGTCTTTTTCTTCTCGCGGAAATTATTTCATATCATGAGAAATTGAACTATTTGAAAAGGATTTCATCAAAGAGAGTCGTTCAGAAACATTCGACTTTAAGATCAAAATGTTAAAAAATTTCTTCTACAACGTGACGCAAATTGTTCCAGCTAATTGTTGTCTGTTCTATATCCACAGCCATCAAGTTGGAGAACTCGTATATCAACGAAATTATAATTACCTATTTTTACAGGATAAAGAAGAATCTAAAGAAAAGTTGAAAAAAAAGAAATGCTGTACTGTTGTTTTGTCATTTCTACTGCTCTTTTTATTTTTGTAAAATTACCCACCTGAAAGGGCTCGACTGAGTAAACAAATTCTGCAATGAAATCAAAGCAAAACACCATAGTGGAAAAAATCACTTAAAATTGCAGTCGAAAGCAATGAAGACATGAAATTCAATAGTGTTACTGTTAATTTTTCGTTGATTTATCAAGACTTACCATTAATAAAATATTGACATCGAGCAAACATCATTTGTAAAAGTTGATACGAAACTTTGTTGATTAGAAAATATTATCTTGTATGTATGGTCTAAGGTGTGCGTGACTCATCAACGTTGTTTTATGCTACTAAACATCCTTTCAAAGATATTGTCTGAACTTTTGTCGAAAGTTTTATATACAGTGCTTGATTTATGTTAATGTTTCCTAGTGGTTAAAAAATGTTCTAAAGATAAAAATCAATAATGATACTTTTCCATGTCATGTCTTCACTTCTTTCTACTGCAATTTTAAGAATATTTTGCACTATGATGTTTTGCTTGGATTCTATTGCAGAATTTGTTTACTCAGTCGAATCTTTTCAGGTGGGTATTTTTACAAAAAAAAGCAATAGAAATGGTAAAAGACATTACAGTATTTCTTTTTTTCGCACGTTTTTTCTACACAAAAACATACTCAAACGTTACTAAAAAATTAATATTTTTATTTATAACATTGATTTCTTTTCAACTTTTTTTTTCAATTCTTCTTTATCTTTTGGATAAAAATTAACTATCATATTTGTTGACATATATGAGTTTGAATGTGGTCATAAAAATCAAGAGTATTAAAAAAATCCGCTAAACTTTTATAAAATTGTACAATTAATTTTTCATTATAAAAATCTCACATACATTCAGTGTCTTGATTAGAAAAAGAAATGTGGACACATGACTTACAATAGTATTATATACATTAGATACGGTTTACAAGACTGGACGAATCATTTTTCGAGGTGTGGGTATCAATCCTCTCTTCATTTACACCCACACACCCACACCCACACTAGAGATCAGCGGGGAACCCCTAACCCCGGTCTCCGCCCCGACCCCACCGGGGTCCGGGCTGGGATCGAGGTTGAAAAAGGTTTTCGGGGTCGGGGACCCCGAATCTTTTAGGATACTCCCCGAAAAATATTTTTTGTTTTTCTGTAATACAAATTTATTCATTTTCATAGTTAATTAAGGAGTAAACGAACGAAAAAGAAAGACAAAGGTATCTGATCGTCAGAATTCAAAGGTTTACTAAAAAAGACAACAGAAACTCAGAAAAAGAGGATGTGGATGGGTGTGATTGTGGGTGCTGTGAATCGACTGAGTGCACTCCTAGCTGTACAGAAGGCTGACCACACACCACACTGACGCCCGTGGCCATACTCCACTCACGCCCACATCCTCACCTACCATCACCCGCATCCACATATTTAACAGAATCATCTCATTTTCTTTATAAGCATCATCGAGTTCTTTTCGTGTTAACAACTTTAAAATCATCTTTTCGTTTTATACACAAACGAAGAGAAGGGAACGAGAGAAAGGACAGAAGAGAATACCTTGTTTTTT